TATATATATATAGTCTGCTGAGACGCTTTGCTATTGTCGTTTCTCCTGACAAACTTTGCAGCACTAGGACACTTGGGAACACAGTGCTGGGGTGCTCAACGTTGGAGCGCTCGGCTCAAGTACATAGTACTGTGGCGCTTGGCTGCACAATATTGGGACACTTGAGAGTACACAATAGCATGGGGCTCAAGTACACAACATCGAGGTGTTGAATGAAAAAAAAAAGTTCCCTTATTCAAAACACCCGAACCCAAGTAGGAGGAGACCCCAACATCATAAATTCATTTGATGTCCGAGACAATTTTACTGTCTGATTAATTAAGATAATCAGATTCCACACATAACTAACAATAAACTTTCAAGCTAAACGAGCCATTACAATTAGCATTTAATGATCCTTCTATATATTTTAGACTATTAGGATTTTTCAAAATATCAAACTAGTTATTAGCTAAGCATGAGCCCAAGCTTTCTTGAGACCCATTATTAGGCATGATTTTATTTTCATTTCGCTTTATTCTCCCTTGCAATTCCCTTTTTACAAGACAAGGAGAAAAAAAAAATTGTTATAATTGTGCCACTTAAAACACCAATACCATAATATACTAATTCATGAAAACCTATTAACTCAAAATTTTTAACAAAAATGTAAATATCATTATTAATATTTTTAGCATTCACGTCTTACTTTTAATTTTGATGTATCATATTTTCATTATAATATTTATATTCTTTTTATATGAGTTTCTAAGTTAAAAAAATATATATTTTAATATTATTAAATATTATATATTGAGAACTTACACAACTATATGAAGCGTCGCTCAATTATAATATAAACAATCAAAGACTTATAAGCCATAAAATAAATAAAATGCTCGATCAATGAAGAATTGTGAGTCATTGACTGTTTTTTTGAGTAATTTTTTTTAAGGTAAGGATATTATAATCTGAATTTGAAGAAAAATTTGGGTCAAGGCTCCTTAGATTGCTTTGGATGACTGGCAAATCTCATCTTAATTGGAACTTTTATTAGGTCCGGTGTAAGGACGTAGAGGAACGTCCGGTCAGAGGCAAAATCCAGCCAAAAAACTCTGTATTTGCTCGGTATTGCTAGATATTATTTGATAATAACGAGGAATACCACTCTGTGAAGACAAATATCGAGTTATACAGAGCAATACCGAGTTGTACCGAGTTTTTTCTAGGAAAAACTCGGTACAACTTTCGTATAACTCAGTATTGCTCGGTATAGCTCGGTATAAATCGGTATTGGGTCTTCACGTGATGGTATTCCTCGTTATTGTTTGGTATTGCTCGGTATTTCTCATTTTTTAGCGCGATTTGGCCTCCGACCGGACGTTCCTCTACGTCTGGTCGGAGGACAATAATTGTTCTCTTAATTGAATCTGAAGGCCTAGGATTGTAGGGGCTCATTGCTGGGCCTTTGTGGCCCAAAAGCTCGTTCGCATTTTGTAATGGGCTAACAGCGTATCTCGAAATATGCTATAATAAGTTAAACCAGGTTTATGTATTTCTATTATTTATAAATTGAACAGCAGATTTCATTGCTTAAAATCATTAATAAAAGCTCGTTCCTCTTTCAAAGATTTCCACTCTCTCGATAAATTCTCCAAAATTAAAAATAAAAATATCAAAATTATTAAATTTTCTTATGCTAAGAGTATTCTAAAAATTATTATTATTAAACAAACAAACTTATTCCAATTTTCATACTAAATTTTTTTTATTAACTGATTTCTTTATTCGTTAAAAAAAGTAATGCAAATAAAAAGGATGCACTTTATTTAATATATTTAGAGTTATTTTGAGGGAGTGTAAAAAAATAAAAAAAATTATTATAATTATTATCTTATTTCTGAAGTAAAATGAATATAATATAAAGTAAATTGATAGTAGTGGCTCGTGGTGTGCGACTGTAGACCATGGACATTGATGGTGACACTTGCGTTTGTTTTTGACGAGCAGGAGGGTGACAAGCAATGATGTCCGATGACAATACAATCAACTTACCATGAAAAAATAAAAACTAGGCGAGTTTATAATTGTCATTACATCAAAAATCCTCTTTATTAGGTACGAATATCAAGGCTTTTCAAGTTTGAAACTTTCAAAATTAAATTCAAGACCATTTGAAATCCTATTGAACTTCTCAAGGAGACGAACCCAACGACACTAAAATCAGCCCAATTTGATCCAAAATGGGTCCACATCTATGGACCAAAGCATTTTTAAAAGCTTTAAATAATTAATTAGATGACCTGATGATATCCAAATATAGCATGCTTATAGTTGAATTGAGCAGCTCGACGAGAAGAATTTAACGAGCCCAAGATTGCTTCATTCTGACATCATTAAGATGCTAAAATGCTTAACAAATGCTCGGTGATATTGGGAATCAGTATGAGCCATCCGATGGAGCACTTCGAATTTGCCCATGATCTTTTTTATATTTACGGGGCATGTCACTCTTGAAAGTTTAAATGAGCTTGTTAAACATTATTGAATTGCCCAAGACACACGAAGAGGGAGTGGGGGGTTCAATTGTTGTTTCTAAAAATTTTTTTTTTTTTAACCAAATACACAAGTTGAAGTAAACAACAAACAACCAAAATAAATTTAATTTTTGATTTTGTAGAAAAATGGACAAAAAAAATTTTTGTTCTTTTTATTTTCAGATTGTTTTTATTGCTCAGAAAATTCAATTCAAAGCAATCACTATACTTTCAAACCAGATTTTCAAGAATATAATATTTTGGAAATAAAAAAAACACACACACACACACAATTATAAAGTGATTTGGTCAAACCTTAACCTACATCTACTCCTTGGGGGTCCTCTCTTGGTATTGCACTTATCCTTTAATGGCTCTCCTTTGTTCCCACAGTAAAGCAAAAAAGCTCTTACAAAATCACTTATATCTTTCCAACTTGTAGTGGAGAAGCCGAAATTCTTTTCACCCTGATGGTGGGTAGACTGGTAGTGAACATGAATCCCTTTCACCAATCCTGTGCGACTGTATACAGTTTGATTAGAGCTGTCGTTGTCGAAAAAAAAATTTTTTTGATGTCTGCATAAAAAAAACTACATTATAAATCTTCAATAGCATCCAAAAAACTTTGTGCATGGATAGTCCTTTCAACCTATGTTGTCTTATGACTCAGTTGCAAGAATTAAAACTTTGTTAATATGGAACTAATTTATATAGCTTTACATTTATGATGTTCATGTCCCTTGACTATATCCTTGCATCTTAAGAGTTTTTAAAAAAAATTTATGTGGGAAACTACTTTCTACAATAGCTTTTAAAAAGGTTAGTTTCTCCTTTGCAGTTCTACCATCATCTTTATGAAAAATTACAGCTATTTCAAATATATCTTTAGTTTATGATCTGAATAGCAGAATTTATAATCTGCTTTGCAGTAGCTGCATTAGCAATTTTTGTGATGCGCTGTTGAATTATACTTCCAACCAACAACTGTAATTTTTACATGTAAATTTATAGCATTTCAACTTGTTTACTTTAGATAAATTAATTTTAATGATGTTTTTATGTTGTTTAAAAATTAGAATGTTATATATAGCATTTCAACTTGTTTTGGTTCGATCAAGCAAATTGAGATTTTGGTGAATTTGTTCCAGAGGCTTTGTTCTTTATATCATACTTGTTTGATTGTATTTAGTATTTTGTTCAGATGTTGACATTCAGGATATTCAGCTAAGGGATCATTCATTTCAAGGTGGTTCAAAACACATATGTTTCCTTTAACATGCTTCTTTTTCATGGTATGGATTTTAAACTGGTTCGTGATAGGCATGTTATCTTTGTGGCCTCTCGTGGGAGGGGCAGGAGAGGTAGGTAGTCCCTTTTTTCCTTTGCTTGTTGTCCTATTGCTTGCTCTGGCTGGTGACGTTTTTGTGGGTTATTGGGCAATGATGTGGCTGGGGCTCGTTCCCTCATTGTCACAGCTGGTGGCAACCTTTGGTGATGCTTTCGTAGTGGTTGGATCGATTGGAGCGCTATCTTCGTCAAATTGGATGGTCCGTGTGTGACTTCGGGATAGCTGGGAGCCTTAGCCAATTATTGTGCCCTCCTTGGATTTATCTTTGTATTTTCTTTTGTTTTTGGTTTTTTGGCATTTGCTTTGTCCTGTGTACTCTTTTTTGGATCACTATATTGTTCTTTTTGGTTAAAAAAACAAAAAAATGCTTCTTTTTCCTAGCATGTGGTATCAGCTGCATGCACTTTTACGATTTTTTCCTTCTCAGGAATTTTACTTAATTCACTGTCAAATAATTTAGTCATCTGATTTTCAATTCTCATGGTTAATTCATCTCTTTTTTTTAATCTTTTAAGTTCAGATTTTATCATTCTCATAAATAGTTGCGTCCTTGAGGAACTTTTATTATATCCAGTGAACGCACGCAGAGGAACGTTCGATTTTAGGCAAAAAAAGCGCCTGTACCGAGTACCGAGCACCGAGTACCGAGGTGTACCGAGTTTTTTGAAAAAACTCAGTACAGGCACTTTTTTGCCTAAAACCGAACGTTCCTCTGCGTACGTTCACTGGATATAATAAAAGTTCGTCCTGGAGAGGCATTCTGCTGTAATTGGAACAGTCAGAAGCATTTCAAGCTATCAATATTGCCACAATGCTGTTGTAATGGCTGATAAGATACTTGGAAACATACCTAATGGCATTGCAAAAAATTATCCTCCAAGGACTTTTGAAGTTGTTGTTGCTACTGCTAGGTAAATGGGTATAGGTAAAGATGGTAAGTTGCCATGGACACTTCCATCTCTCTCAAATTTACCTCCTTTTTAAAAATTCATATTGGTGGCTTCAAAACAATGAATATTTTATATGAGAGATGTTTGTCGTAATAGGACATGCTCTCTTTGTAATTAACTCAACGAATCACACTCCAAACCGTTCTTTGTGTCCTTTTGCTATGAAATTTATTGGAGCTTGTAATATATATGGTGAATTTTTTTACATTGGCTATAATTTATTAGGTAAAATTTCTCAAAGTTTTATAGTATTTTTTTTGTTTGGTGTGACTTATTTGTATTTCGTTATATGATTTTACAGCCCAACACTTTGAAGAGGTGGATGCTCCAATCTTGTAATTACATATATGATCCACAAATTTTGTTTGTTTTGTTTCTCTAAGAGCCTCTTCTTTATGATTGAGATATGTCTGCTCATTTTTTATTGTATTGTCTATAATCCCTTTTTAATAAGGCAGACTAGGTGTTTTTACATATATATGCATTTTAATTTACAAACTTTTGGACATGCATTCGGCCTGTGCTTTTTTCTTTTACATTTTTGGATCTCTAATTCAGCATATTTTAAAATTATAGCAACATGCACACAGTACACGTGCATTTAAACTAGTCAATCCAAAAACAACTTTCAACTAATCAATTAATTTCCGAAATTATTATAACTTCAACTTTTCATTTCATATTAGCTATAATTATTAATGTATTCTCTAAATTGTATTTAATTAAGATAATTGCAATAATTATTACATAATTCACAAAAAAAGACTTTTAAGATAACCCATTGCATTAAATAGTATTAATGATTAATAAATTTAAGCTATTATAAAAATGGCTTGGGATTCCACTCATACTCAATTATGATATTTCGTTTTATTTTTTAAAATATTATCCCGACCTTTCATTAAAATATTAGGTCGATGAAGGAAAATGTCAAACCCTTCGGAAACGGTTGGAATCTCGCTAAGGTAACCGTTGAGGCTTTTATCCCTCTTCATCCTTCGGAAACGGTATGCATATCCATTAGGTAACCGTTGAAGCTATTATCCCTCACCATCATATATAATACCTTAAACTTTTCCACCTGTTTGCCTTCTATGGTTTCAATCTTGCTTTTACTGAATTTTGTTTATGTATATAGATAGACAAACTAAAGTTGTTCCTGTGAATGTTATAAGTGCTGAAATTTTGCCCCTTACATAGAAGCACAAGCTAAAATCATACTTCAAAGGTGTTGTAATGTTACTTTTGGAAGAGTTCATTAATGGAAAGGTGAATTGATTGCTAAAACTTACAAATGTTAAAAACTTATAAGGTACTATTTGAGAGTAAATCTATGTCTATACTATCTATATTACTATTATAAAAGGGGCTTTAGTTTCCATCCCCAATAAATCTTGTCCTTCCATTTTATTTCTTAAAAAATTATCCTAGCCATTCATTTAATAGTACTATATATTTTTTATTACTTTAAACGGCCCTTTAAATTGTATTTTATTATTTTAAACGGCTCTTTAAACAACTCTTCGAATTGCTCTTTAAATTGCATTTATATTTTTAATTAATTGTATTTAATAGGCGGCGGATTCTCAAAGAGCAAATAAAAGACGAATTAGGCCTCCGTTTCGGCTTACTTATTCACGATCGATTCGTGCTTTGTTTCCTATTGCGAACGATTTTGACTATCCGTACATTCTTTTCATATTCGGGACTCTTCGGCTTGCCCTGACTTTTCTTCTTCATCCTCGTTGTCTCTTATGGTAAGTATATTCTCCAATTATTTTAGCCTCTTCAGAGTTTATAACGGTTCTCCTACAATTGCAGTTTTGCCTAATGAACTTTTCGGTAAGTATTCTTTTTTTTTTTTCAAATCACTCAAACATTCTAAAAGAAAATTTCAGAAATCTAAATGAATTGTATGGCTGAAATTGTGTACTTTCATGCTTAAATTATAATGATGATTAGAGAGGACCTAAATGCTCAGAGACACAAATTTGAAAGAATCTTTAAAGGCAAAAGCATATGTTGAGGCATATCTAGAGAAAGAAATTGAACAACGAAGTAGAAATCCAACATGAATCATCAAGAGTTTTCAATCCCCTATTTAAATGACTAGACTATGATTTGCCAAAATTTATTATCAATGTTATTATGTAAGATTTTATTTTTGCATGAAGAGTTTTTTACTCCTTGCTTAATAATTTGTTTATTTATAATGCAAATCAAAGAGTTTATTTTAAACCCTTTGAATATGCATCCACTAGCTCTCATGATTTCTAATATTCCTTTCTTCTTTTGCATATTCTTATATAGTATTGAAACATGAAACAAGAACCATTATTAGAAGATGTTTCAAAAAGTTTATTCAGGTTGTTCGTAATTGTAATTTTTTATGTTATTTGCTTTCTTCTGCATGAAGATTAGGCTTTATGCTAATAGTATTTGATGTTTTCTTATTTAATTTGCTTGTTCGCTACTGCTGAAGAGTCTCTATCATCAACTTCGCATTATCATCATTAGATTTTCTTCCGCTTTTTTATCATCAGGAGATTTTGTTCTTATTTATTTATTTATTATTATTTTTGAATTAGATCACTAAATGAAGTAAAAACTGAAAAATCCCGTGTACCCACAACTACAAATATTCATTTGTTTTTCTGGACCTTTTATGCATATTTTAATTTTGTTTGATGTTCATTTAATTACTGGATTGTATTGATTCTTGATATAAGTTCATGCACTCTAGTTTTTAATAACCTTCACATGAACGAGATTCTATTATAGTTGACGTATTTTTCATTGTGAAGGACTATGGAGCGCTTCTTCTTTTTGCCTTTTTTTTTTTTTTTTTAAAGCTTAGATGTTTGCCTTTGTTTGTAATATATGGCCAGAAATTATGCTTTTGAGTAGACAATGTTCATATGCATGTCCTTTTGCTAGTTAGCTAATATTTACCACAAAGGATTCATGTAGCCGACCCCACGTAGTGGGATAAAGGCTTGATGTTGTTGTTGTTGTTGTTGTTGCTGCATGAAGATTGGGCTTTATGCTAATAGTCTTCATTTGGTTGTGTTGGTCACTCAATCATGTAAATTTTTTATATTTAGCACTTGATTTCGACAATATATTCTAGAATTCTTTACTATTGGTTCTTATCTATCTGCCCCATCAGTTCTTGATGATTCTCTTTTAATTTTTTTCTTCTAGTTATAAGCTTCAAAAACTGTTACAGATATATAGGCAGTTCGTTGAGTTATTTATACAGAATAATAATTTTTTTTTTTCTATTTCTTTGTTGTTTTTCTCCCTTGCCTTCTTGCAGGATTGCAAATACAACGGTTGTATGTGAAGTAGAGTGTAGATCTATCCAAAGATACTTTACCAATGCAGTGGATCAAGACTGCGAAAATAAGAAAGATTGAGAAGGAGAAGACACCTCGTTGCAAGAATTATTATGTTAAGTTCTCTGTCAACTCTTTATTTCATTATCTTGTTTTCTTCTTTTGGTTAGCAGTAATTTGCTTGTGCTTGTCTTGTTTTCTTTAAAGAAAGGGTGCACTTGAATAACATTGCAGGAATCCAAAGGAAAAAAAACTCAACTGTGATGTCTTTGCTGCAAGCTGGAAGGAGAAAGAAACCAGAAAACTGAATCACCACAAGAGCATGGGGGAGTTGTTCTCCTACATTTCTTCATCAGAAGCATTTTCTTGAAAAAAGAATCAGCTTATTTTAGAATTGTGAAACTGGCTTAGATTTATAAAAATCAGGGAATTCATTCAAGTACTAAGGAAGGACGGTTGCTGGCATCCACCAAAACCTATTTCTTGTTGCTTTGGACTTGGCAGTAAAGCTTAACTTTCCTATCTAGTCATTTTTTGATGTATTACTGTATTTTGAAGTGAAAAATAAGTTTTTATCTCCATTTTCTCGCGCAAAATTGTTTCTATATTATGAGCAATAACTTTTCCAAGAAAATCTCACTAAGAAAGAAACCTTGCCTGATCGAGGAAGAAGATAGTCCAAGCGCGAGACATGTAAAGGGGGCGGGGGATAGCGGTGTAGAAAGCTGAGAAGATGGAGTAGCCAGCGCACAGCTAGCCCGTTCATGTAGACCAAATACCTGCACAAATTAATAATCATTAATTTCCTAAAGAAGGAGAGGCTAGCAAGCTTTACCTATTCAGAGATCGAGCGAGAGCAAAAACTAACTTGAAGCTAGGATCCGATATCAGAATAAGAGACGGAGCCAAAATCGTTGTCCACGGAATTCTTAATGGTGAGGATTAGTGCGGCGAGGCAGAACCCCATCGGCACAACGCGCAGCAGCGTTTCCGCGGTCCGTACACCGCTCAGGCCACTTTCGATCGCATCCACCACCTCTTCTTCCTGCTTCGAGACCGGAAGCGCCGCTGCTGTCTTCACCATCGTGGCCGATCAATTGATAGCTAAGGCGAGAGAGGAGAAGGTCTGGCGATCGAGCTGATTGTAGATATTTAACATTGAATTAGCTAGATGGGGGGCATGAAAGACAGGTGGTGGTCCACCTTGGAGCTCATTAGGAGGGAGGGGAGGCCCTTTCGTACATGGAGGCTTTTCTTTGGTACCGCTAGTAAGGTAACGAAAACAACAAACTCTCCTTGTCCTATTGGTTGAGAGCTTAGGCTTCCAACTAAGAGTTCCAAGGTTCGAGTCCATGTGTATGGGTTGTGTGTGTGAGTTTGTCTTAAATGATCTAAATGTCCCAAAGAAAAGGGGGCAGCGGGGCAGCAGCGCGGGCAGTGGGGTAGCGGGCAACAGACAAAGGGCGGGAATTTGAAATTTTTTAAATTAAACGGGTTGACCTGGCAACCCGCCGGGTCAACCCGAACCCGACCCGTTTTTTAAACGGGTCAATTTCTGGAACCCGAACCCGACCCGTTTTGAAATCGGGTCGGGTCCAACCCGGATTTTCCGGGTCGGGTCCGTGTCAGATTTTCGTTTCATGTCAAATATTGACACCCCTACCTGTAATTATTTAATAATTATATTATCTCTTAAAAAAATTTATGATGATGGAGAGAGTTTTTAATATTTTAGTTTTACATCAAAATCTAGTATGCGCACATATAGAAATTGCAATACACAATAACCCTGCTATGTATTTAAAGTTATATTAGCGAGTAGATGTCAGGGGCCAATATTTTTGTAGAAATTGATTGATTAATAAATTACATAATTTTAATTTTTTAAACAAATAAATCATCCATACTGTAGCCTAAATTTTGTTTAAGAATAACCAAATCAATGACTATCTTAGAATAGAACGTTGTGAATTAGTTTAATATCGAATCAAATAAAACTATTCATAAAATATTTAATAAATAAAATCTATCCTAAATAAATTGTATTTTATTATAGAATTATTATGCATGTGTTTTTTTTTTTAAATTAGTTAATTAATATGTTTGAAAATTTATGGGTCAATATTTTAATCAGGTGATAGTTAACTCCATTAGCCTTTTTAGATCATTTAATTAAACAGATTGCGTGAATATATTGATTTATGATGAACATCATTGATTGCGTGAATATAGTGATTAAAAAAAATCATTTTTATGTTTTACTTCAATTCTATCCCTATGATTTTGGAATTCTACTATTTTAGATTTATATGCACATTAAAGTTTATATTTTTTTAAAAAGTGTTAAATATCACAATAGGTTGGTTAAACGGTCTAATTCTTCATGAAAATTTTTAAAAATATTACTTCATAAATTTATTGTAGAATTCTACATTATAAATGCTGACTTTTTTTTTTTTTGATAAAACGTGTTCAAGAAAACAAAGAACTTAACATATTAACAGTAAGCATTGCAAACAATAAAATAAAATAAGAGCTAACACAATTATTTAATTCATCCCGAATTAAATATAATCAAAATGAGCATCAAAATCATTAAATTTATCTTAAAATTAATCAAATACTAATCAAATCAATGAAGCTATCCCTTACAAGCATAACAAATATGAATTCTGGGAATATTGAGCAATCACAGGAGCAACAAATAGAAATAGCACAACAGAATAGGCAAAACGAAATTATACGAAGCACTTTCATCAATTATACGAAGCAGAAAACTCGGCGAAAAATACAACTGAAATACGAGTTATGTCAGGCTTAATATGAAATAAGCTCAAGCCACTTCATCTTAAATAAGTTCAAGCCACTCGGCGAATAATACAATTAAAATTTTTGTACTAGAAAATGTTTGAAAAGCAATAAGAAATCTATCCCAAATGAACTCTTTAAGTTTAAGCATTTGGTGTTTCTTAGAAATGGTGATAAGCAAATTCTTAGTATGTGGATGTCAGTGTTGGGTGGTAACAATTATTATTGATAATCAAGTTGTGATTCAGTTTAATATCAGTTTATTATGGAACAAAAATCAATGGCTATCTTAGAATAGAACGTCGTGATTTAGTTTAATATCGAATCAAATTAAACTAATCATAAAATATTTAATAAATAGTGTTTTATTATAGAACTATTATGCATGTGTTTTTTTTAATTAGTTAATTAATATGTTTAAAAATTTGCTCCAGGCCAGAGATTACATCTATTGTGATGGATGGAGATATTAAAGACACAAAGATCGGACATTGTTGGTGGCAACTTGTTGCTGCCCGATCGGACGTTGGTAGACTCTTGTTTTCTGGGCAGACATCTTATCACTGGAAGCAATTTGGCAAGGTTTTATTGACCCAGTCGGCAGTTGTGGCTCAAATTTTGGCAAGTTTTTGGGTCGTGGACGATGATGAAGCCTACTCGCTCCTTTTGGACGGTCTTCGGGCAATCAAAGGAGGATTGGATTTAATCTATAATCGTATTATTTTCTGTATGTTTTTTTGGTTCCTTTCTTCTACATGTAACTAAATTTAGAATTTTTTTTCCTGCTCTTAGCCGTTTTTTTGTCTGGCTAAGTTTTTTGATCCAGCTTTGTATTCCTTTTCTTTTAATAGAATGGGCTTTGCCCCTAATTTTACCCAAAAAAAAAAAAAAGACGCAAAGATTGGCAAGGAAGCTCGATCGGAATCAGTGTTGTGCAGCTATCTTAAACTTTTTTAAGCTCGGAATCTTAAAAAAGTTTAATAGTCACACGAAATAATTGTTAATTAACAAATTATAATGATATTTGCACATCATTTATCAAGATTTTAATTATATTTTAATATTACAAATAAATATATTAGAACTTATTTTAAATTTATTTTTAAAATAAATGTATAAAATTTCTATATATATGCTTTTAATTTAGTTTAAAGTTTCTATGTAAATTTTTTTTTCTTTTTATTTTTTTTTATCTGTTGCTTTTTATTTTTTATTTATTTTATTTTATTTTTGATAAAGTTTCTATGTATATATTTTTAAAACAAATGTAAACATTTAATCAAAATTTCATAAAGTTAAATATATCGTAAAATAAGATTTATAACTATTAAATTATTTTAAATATTTAATAAAATTAATTTGAAATATTATAACTATTATATTTATTTTATGATGTAATTTTTAGTTAACTAAATATAAATATAATTAAGAAATTTTTAATTATAATTATAATATTTAAATTTAATAATTATGACTATTAACACACCCGCTCCAGTCCTACCGCCGGCTGCCTCAGCTCCGCAACCTTCATCAAGACCTCTCTGTCAAATCTGTGGCAAAATCGGACACATCGCCCTCAATTGCTGGCACCGCAACAATCCGAAATATGCCCCAACTGACACTCGCCAACCCAGGGCTCTCTTCACAAATCTAGCCGCACAAGTCAATCAAGAGTGGATTCTTGACTCCGGCGCTTCCTCCCACCTAACACCGGATGCCAACAACCTCTACTACCAAACTGCATACCAAGGCTCGGACACGTTTCAACTACAAACGGTAACTCCATTCCCATCAACAGCACCGGTCAAGGACTTCTTCCCTTTCCGGACACCGCTCGTAAGTTAAAACTCAACAATCTACTGCACGTGACCTCTCTTATGCACAACCTCATATTTGTCTCAAAACTTACCTCAGATAATTTTGTCTCTATTTCGTTTGATACTAACGGTTTTGTCATCAAGGACTCTCGGGACCACCGTCCACTGCTTCATGGACAACTCCGTAACGGCCTCTACCATATTAGTGCTGAACCAGTCAACAAGAACATGGCTCTCACGGTCACGTCCCATGCTCCGAACAACTGGCACTCACGTCTCGGACATCCAAACAAAGACACCCAACTTCTTCTTTCAAGAACGTTTCCTGAAATTCACAATGTTCACCGCTCTTTTATTTGCAATTCTTGTAACCAGGCCAAGAGCCACAAATTAGTCTTTAATAAAAGAATCACGCTTACTACTGCACAATTTGAGCTCATTCACACTGACGTTTGGGGACCATCTCCGCACCCGTCGGTGACCCCTAACGGTCACCGATATTACCTCATCTTTATAGACGACTACACAATATTCTCATTGCTTTATTTTCTTCATACCAAAAATGAAACACTAACAATGTTTAAAATGTTCTGCAATCTTATCAAAACTCAATACAACAAAACTCCCAAAATCCTTCGTTCAGACGAAGGCGGAGAATTCATGAGTCACGCCTTTAGGTCCTACCTCCAAGAATCCGGCATCATACAACAACTCACCTGTCCACATACGCCGGAACAAAATGGCCTTGCCGAACGACGACACCGTCATCTCCTAGATCTGACCCGTGCTCTACTACTAGAATCCAGTTTACCACCCAAATTTTGGTCCTCAGCACTATCCACGGCTCACTATCTAATAAACCAATTACCGTCCAAATCCATCTCCAACCAAATCCCTCTTCAACTCCTCACAGGTACCCCGCCTTCCTACACGCATCTGAGAATGTTCGGATGCTTATGCTACCCGTGGCTAAGGCCTTACTCCACGGACAAACTAGCTCCTAGATCCCACCCCTATATCTTTATAAGCTACTCACCCCAACACAAAGGCTTTCTCTGTCACAATACTGTCACCGGCCGAACTCACATCTCAAGACACGTTATTTTCTACGAACACATCTTTCCACTCAAAACTACAGCCAACTCGCATCTCACTGATCACCAGTCATCTCACACTCAGATACCCCCGCTCCTCCTAACACCATCTTCGACCATCCCTCACACTTCCGCACCCCACGCTACATCCAGACCAAGAACCAACACAGCCCCTGCCACACCGAACTCTCGCAGCCCCTCAGTTGGATTACCTCAACTTGATCCCGAAGGACCAAGCCCATCTCCTCAACCTCAAACCAACACTACGCATGGTCACCCCATGCAAACGCGTCTGAAATCTAGAATTCAGAAACCAAAGCAAGTGTTCAATCTCCTCGCCCACACAACTCCGCATGACACGCCAACCACTTACACTCAAGCGCTCAAAACAACTCACTGGCGGGCGGCCATGCAAACTGAAGTAGATGCCCTCAAATAGCAATCGACATGGACCCTCGTCCAACCTCCCGCGGACAAGCCTATATTGGGC